AATCATTTAATCATCCAAAACGTTATGGAACACATTAATTAACTGAAAAATGTTGCATAGTGTGCCTTTAAGAGACATTTCAGTTATGATCTCATTCGTCAGCAAATCACAAGAAAGTGTTTTATTATTACACTGCAGACATAATTTACAAAAGTTAAATGTTTTTGCTATTAATTGAGCAGGTAAAGAAGATGATCTGCCAAACGAAGAAGAATTTTGGTGCTTAAAACAAGATAATTATATACTATGCATTTAAAGAAGGATAATAGTATTTTTTTTCTTTTTTCTTTTAAACATAAATCATTTTATTCCATCTGCAAATTGTCCTACCTGCTTAAATTTAAGTAATGTACATCTATTTCAAGAAAAATTTACTTACATTTTTGCAGTTTATGTATTCACACTGCAAAAAATGGAAATCTAAATAAGTCATTTTTTCTTAAACTAAGTGCATTTGTTTTTGAATTGAGGAGGTAAGTGAGACACTTTGCCAATGGAACAAGACAATTTACATTTAAAATAAGAAATAGCAACCGCATTGTCTTATTTCAAGTGCATATTATCTAATAATCTTATTTTAAGAGTAAAAATACTCATTCCATTGGCAAATTATCCCATTTACCTACTGAAATGAATGGTAAATGCGCTTGATTTAAGACATTTTTACTTATTTCTAGACCATTTTTGCAGTGCAGTACATGGGACAGGACCAGTTGGGGCCACTGGCCCCTGTTAGAACCGCCCCTGGAATGATGTGAGTTGTTTTCACAGATACATCCACATAATCATGGTGTTTTGGTCCTTCCTGGCCGGGGTGGTCACCTTTTACTGCTCACTGGGGCCTGAGTCTCTGCTGCCAAACATCTTGGTGTCCATTAAACCAAAGGCGAAGGTAGGAGACGCCCTGTCCAAACGCAAAGCTGCTCATTTTCTTTTAGTAACCGATTGATAAAGTGAGAAAACCTTCCCCCACAGTCCTTCCAGCAGGAGCTGTTTCCCCTCGGCCACAGCTGTGCTGTTTGTGGAAAGATTAAATGTAAAAGACACAGGTAAATGACCTGAATCCTGATGCTCTTCCATGTCAATTTTTCCCCTCAGAAAATGCTAAATTGTCTTTTTTTTAACCTTTTTACAGACAAAAAATGACTGGGTTTTTAGCCAAAATAAAATATAGGAAAGTATACAGTAACTAAACTAGTGAGCAGAATTCTTCTGAAATTGATCCTGTGAGGTTTTTAAAGGAAACATTAGTGTACAGACAACAGACATTATCCAGGGAAAAATGATTGGACTTAATGCTGTAGCCTTTAGATTCCTGCATGTACTGCAAGAAAAAACACACACAAAAAAGCGAAAAGCTGTTTGTCGATGTGAATCTTGAGCATTGCAGAAATTTTTGCATGTTTGTCCATTATTGCAAACATGCAACAGACCCCTTATAACAGCCAGATTGCGCGTGCATAGTTGAACGGTCCAGTTTTTACACAGTCAGGTTTAGACATAGGAACCTTTGCAAGCTACCTTGTTTCTGCTACAACTGGTCCCCAACGGTGCATATTAGCTCTGGCTATTAGAAAAACTCTCATAAATTTATAATATACGTACATTTCTATTTATTTTTAAAATAAATAGAGTGCTTAGAAATTCTAATTAAAGGTAAAACACACACACACACACACACACACACACACACACACACACACACACACACACACACACACACACACACACACATATATAAAAATGTATAAATTGAGGCATCAGAAGAGGCAACAGTTGGCAGATGTTCAACACAAGGTGGTTCTATAAAAGATAGAATCAAAGGCATGCTGCATTACATCCATTTTATTTTAAGAAAATAAAACCGTTTTTTCTTCCTGTCACCCTAATATGTGATACTTTTTTGCACCACGCTTTAATGACCAAAGAAAGACACTAATTTGAAGATAAAGAGGTTAAAAAGTGGACCATGTAAAATGGAACGCTGCTGCCTAAAATTACTTTCAGCTGTTTTTTTCACTACAATATTTACATTTTTGTTCCATTTTTGTCAGACCAACTTTGTTACTGGAAAATTATCAACCATGGCTTGACCTGAAAATACCCTCTAAGGTGGACGCTTCCCTATCTGAGGTATGACATCACTGACAAACAATAAAACTGATTTTAAAACAATTTCATGCATCGGTTCTTGTTTTTTTTTTACAGATCCTGGAACTTGTCTTAGAAAATTTTGTATATCCTTGGTACAGGTTGGTATATTTTTATGTTTATTTTTGGGAGTGATGGTGTTCGATTTAAGTGACAGATTGATTTCTTTTAGGGATATCACGGATGACGAGTCTTTTGTCGACGAGCTGAGGGTGACTTTACGCTTCTTTGCAGCTGTTTTGGTCCGCCGAACTCAAAAAGTGAGAGATTCTGACGTAATGGACCAGCCCAATCCTGGCCCATTTCGATCGGTCCATTATTCTAATGATCTGATTGCTTCATTTTTCTGATTATGAGATTGAATCTTATTTCTCTCTGTTTTGTCAAAGGTGGATGTTGCTTCACTCATCACCCAAAAGCTTCTGAAAGTTTCCATGAAACACATTGAAATCATCAGCAAAGCCAGACTGAAAGGTATTGCTGATTTCCAGGACTAACATCTTTCTATTATGATCAAGAGTGCAGGTGTAATTTGATTCTTGTTGTCCGGAGCAGTAAAAAACACAGAGTATCTTCAACAAGCTGCCCTGGATGAGTACGGTCCTGATCTCCACGTAGCGCTCCGTAGTCGCAGAGACGAGCTTCTCTACCTCCGGAAGCTGACTGAGAACCTCTTCCCTTACATCCTGCCGCCCAAGGCAACAGACTGCCGGTAACTCACCGCTGCGCTTGACAAGATTAAAACTGAAGCTTGCTTAAATTAACCCAATGAGTTGAAGCTCTATATGATTTACCAACAAAAATAGTTAATCACTGTAAAATGAAAAGACCAAGTGAGACTGGCTGCAGATCTGCACTGTCAGGACCCTTCGTTCCAGACCTGCAAAATGGCGTCTCCTGCACTGTCAGGACCGGAAGTTTATTCCAAAAGTTGTATTCGAAGCCTTCAGGAATAGCGAGCAGCACGTCTTTGCTGACAGATTAGAGTTTTTGACAGTGTAAAACTGAGCATAGGAGCAGTTTAAATTATGTTGTAAGCAACAATCCTCATAGGACAGCCAGCCTGCATTGTCGTTTAGAAAATATTTTATAAATGCCCTTTTCCACTCAGAGATCCAAATACAGACTTATTTCTATCAACTACATATGTATAATTTGAAATATGAGTTTGGTGGGGAGGAAAATTGGGGTTGTACATAAGTTTTCAGCATAGCAAAACTTCTTTGTGAAAGGAATCTAGCATCATGACGGGTTTATCGACGCTAGCTTCGAATCAACTTTGCTTTTACTTTGAAAGTCTTTGAATAAACTTCCGGTTCTAACAGTGCAGGAGACCTCACATTGCAGTTCTGCAGCCAAGGTCCTGACAGTGCAGGTCTGTAGCCAAGGTCCTGACAGTGCAGCTCTGGGTCCAGACGGTGCAGCTCTGAGTCCAGACAGTGCAGCTCTGGGTCCTGACAGTGCAGCTCTGGGTCCAGACGGTGCAGCTCTGAGTCCAGACAGTGCAGCTCTGGGTCCTGACAGTGCAGCTCTGGGTCCTGACTGTGCAGCTCTGGGCCAAGCTTCGTGGGACGGGCCTCAGGACAGTCCGGCTCTTTCCGATTGTTCTGTAGTCCTGCCAGCAGATGGCGCCATGACTGTATGTCTGCTCATCCCGCCCGGTCCCGGATCACTATTTAGGCTCAAAAAGGACTAAACACTTTCAGGACTGATGCTTATTGTATGTAGATTTATTTTGTCATGATCAAATGTTATTTTTTTGTATATACAGATAACATGACTATGCACATTTAATATACTCCTGTCACATTGCAGCCTTAATACATTAATTGTATTATATTGGCTTTTAATGTTACAGACCATCACACATTTGTGCATTTTATTCACCCCACTTTACTGTGATTCTCCTTGATAATACGAAATGCAAACATTTGTACTACTTAGTAAATTACCTTCGTCTTAATGTGTAATTTATTCGAAATCTTCATGATGTGAAAAAGTTTAGTTGGTGTGAATCCTTTTTTTTTTTTGGACCCTGTCTTCTCTGATGGAGAAAATGTGAAGAGTCGGGGGTCTTCTTTTATTATCTTTATTTATTTAATCTATTTTTACCATTTAAATGTGTAATTTTTTTAGCTTTTTTTTATTTTTTTGTTTTTGTTTCCTCTCAGATCTCTAGCTCTCCTGATTAGAGAAGTCTTGGCCGGTTCCGTCTTCCTTCCTTCGATGGACTATTTGGCGGATCCAGTGAGTTCATGGCGAATTAGGCTTATTTTTCTAACAAACATCAAAATGAAAATTCAAAATGAGCAAATCTCCCTTTGTTTACATTACAGGACACAGTGAATCATTTAATTTTGATATTCATTGACAACTCCCCTGTAAGTATGATGAACCACATTTCACCAGCATGTTTGGTTTGTATTTTCTGTCATGCTGTTGCAAAGTGGATGTACTTTATGATTAAATGCATGTTTTTATTTCTAATGAAATAAATCTGAATATTATTGAAGTAACTGTTTGCTAATTGAGACCCGTATGTATTAATTACACAGAGATTTATTTTTTTATTTACTATGATGATTGTTTTTAGATTGAGCTACAAAAAATATGACATTTATACTAAAATATTAAATAAACCCTATTAAAAAAAACGTATTATTACAGAGTTTTGGCCCTTATTGGGACGTTTGTTTGATGTATTTTTTTCTGACAAACATCCTGATTGGAATGCATAATTGGGATTTATAAAGGATTACATTTATATGCATTTATTTTGTCTACAGCCCGAAGAAGCAACAGAGCCAACTTCAACACTTGTTCCATTTTTACACAAGTATTCTGATTCTCGCAACAAAAAGCCTTCAGTAAGTGCTTTGCTCTACTTATACATGAAACATGTTCTCATGAGACACGTGAAATAACTTTAACCAAAAGCCAAACAAGCACATAAAGCCGAATCTGTTCGCCGTCGCCTGTTTTTTCTTTTTCTGCACCAGGTGCTTAAGCTGGAGTTGAAGGAAATCAGAGAACAGCAAGACCTCCTCTTTCGCTTCATGAACTTCCTGAAACAAGAAGGAGCTGTGCATGTGCTCCAGTTCTGTCTCGCAGTCGGTAAGTGGGTCTCGTTCAAACCTGGACGGAGGTGGGCTGGTTGACCTACCTTCTGCTGCACCAGCGCTGCTCTCAGTTTGATGCTACAGTCCAGTGAAAACCTTCCACACGGTGACTCCGTCTTGTCTAAATGTCTTAATTCCTCAGAGGAATTCAATGATAGGATTCTTTGCCCTGAGCTTTCGGACTCGGAGAAGATGATGCTGCATGAAGAGGTGAAGAAGATCTATGAGACTTACTGCTTGGATGAGAGCGTCGACAAGATCCGCTTCGACCCTTTTATAGTGGACGAGATCCGCAACAGTATGTTATCTCTGAATACCTTTAGAATGAGAATTTAGTAGTTTAATTCTACAAGGAGTGGACTTTATGATTTACTACATGAAAGAAATTGAATCCTGAGAAAGATATTTCATTTTTCAGTATATTTGTGTTATATATAACAAGTGTTTTGCAGTAAAATACTGGTTATTTATTGACCAGTACATCTGGTCAGTGAATAATCAGGTTGTATACCCAGTTAAAATAAATTAAATAAGCTAAAGTCGCTTTCAGGGATCCCTTGATATTTTCTTCTTTCATTTGGGCAAAAATGCTGACATTTTTCAAGGCTAATTAGCTTTCTTGTACGCTCTGTTTTAAACTCAAAATGGCCAGAAAAAGAGAACTTTCATCTGAAACTTGACAGTCTATTCTTGTTCTTAGAAATGAAGGCTATTCCATGCGAGAATTTGCCAAGAAGTTAAAATTTCCTACAACGGTGTGTACTACTCCCTTCAGAGGACAGCACAAACAGGCTACTGCGGGTACTATTTAATGAAGATGCCAGTTGGGGACCTGTGAGGCATCTGTTTCTCAAACTAGAGACTCTAATGTACTTATCTTCTTGCTCAGTTTTGCAACGCGGCCTCCTACTTTTTTTTCTACTCTGGTTAGAGCCTGTTTGTGCTGCCCTCTGAAGCGAGTAGTACACACCGTTGTAGGAAATCTTTAATTTCTTAGCAATTTCTCGCATGGAATAGCCTTTATTTCTAAGAACAAGAATAGACTGTCGACTTTCAGATGAAAGTTAATTTTTTTCTGGCCATTTTGAGCGTTTAATTGACCCCACAAATGTGATGCTCCAGAAACTCAATCTGCTCAAAGGAAGGTCAGTTTTGTAGCTTCTGTAACGAG